TGCTTGCTGCTGAACGTTACGAGGTCATCCAGCACCGAAAAAAACGAACTGGGAAAACATATTTAGTGCTGTATTTATTAGTGTGGGCATGTGTACATTCATATATGTACACACACTCCAAATAATTTTAAATTAAAGCATTTTTAAAATACTTAATGGAGGTTAAGCAGCATTTTTAACCTCTGTTCAAGTTATTGAATGGCATATTAAAACCAATGTGGCTCTAATGTAGCTTCTAATGTGCACTGCTGCTTTAACAAATTGCCTATAAATTTTAGTTGAATTAAGCCTATTCCTTGTACATTCATAGTAAGGTTAGGTTAATAATACATGAGGCTTCATTATATGCACCTTCCTTAATAATGTTTTTTAGGAAAGTGGGACGAGAATCTATGGGCAATAGTATACTAGGGGCCAGGAGTATTTGCAACCACAGACGAAAAAGGCGACAGAAATCCCGAGGCTTTCCCGTCCATCCCTCCTACCCCACCCCAGGCTTCCCCCTCCACGCCCCACTACTCACACAGGCTCTGCTGTGCCACATGATCTAGGTCTCTCAGGTGTGTTTAAAGAAGGAGAAAGGAAGCTTCAGGTTCCAGCAGTGCATTTTAACGTGCAAACTACAGAGCTGGCTACTGGGAAACATCTGTGTATGATGAAGATTCTTTGGGGTTAGGGTTCTTTTTTTCAGTGTAAATTTCATGGTAAGAGACAATAAAACCAGAAAACAAAATTCAAAGTAGTTTCAGAAGCTAGAATGCAGGACGCCCCTCCCCCCAGAGAAAGTCCACAAAACACATTCCATATGCTACACTTATGTGTACAGAATACCTTGTTTTGTCAAAAAAAATCCATTAGGTCCTTAGATTGCTATTTTCTTTCCACCCTGGCAGGGTAAAAACCACATCCTCTCTATATGTCATCAAAGGAGCACTCAGAGAGTTGCACTCTGCCTGTGCCTAAATAGAAGAGAACGCCAGTAGGTTTTGGGGGTTTTTGAGGGTTTTTTTTTGTTTTTGTTTTGAGAGACAGAGAGGGCAAGTGAGGGGAGGGGCAGAGGGAGAGGGAGAGAGACAATCTGAAGCAGGCTCCACGCCCAGCACAGGGCCGTGGTGGGGTTTGATCTGGTAACCTTGAGATCATGACCTGAGCCAGAATCAAGAGTCAGATACTTAATTGACTGCACCACCCAGATGCCCCACCCCTGGAGTAATTTTTTTTTAATTTTTTAATTTTTTTTTCTCTCTCTTTTTTTTTTAATTTTTTTTAATTTTATTTTTTATAAACATATTTTTTTTTCCCCAGGGGTACAGGTCTGTGAATCGCCAGGTTTACACTTCACAGCACTCACCATAGCACATACCTGCCCCAGTGTCCATAATCCGACCACCCTCTCCCCACCTGCCTCCTCCTGGCAACCCTCAGTTTGTTTTGTAAGATTAAGAGTCTCTTATGGTTTGTCTCCCTCCCGATGCCATCTTGTTTCATTTATTCCTTTCCTACCCCTCAAACTCCCCATGTTGCCTCTGAACTTCCTCATATCAGGGAGATCATATGATAATTGTCTTCCTCTGTTGACTTATTTCGCTCAGCATAATACCCTGGGGTAATTTTTAAATGTAATTATGTATAACTTTGGGAAACACTGATGGGAGTATCCACCAGGGAGACACTGCCCATGTGCCCAGGACAGAGCACTGAACAATGTCAAGAATAGCAGTTAGACTTGTAGAACAAATGATCTAAAGACTCCTGGAAATGAGGTCCGAGAAAGATGGGGGGTGTTACAGTTCATGTGGACTACGTGTTTTATCTACAATGATGGGAAGACTGTGGAGGATGGGGTGATACAGTCTGACTAAGGTTTGAACAGCATCACTTTTGCTGTGCATTAAGAAACGTGACTGGAGAAGAATAAAGAGGAGAAAGGAAGTTTTAGGAGGCTTGTCAGCTAGTCCAGAAGGAAGATGAAAAGGGTGAATGGGGTGTTGAAATATGGACCAATTCTGGATCTATTGGAAACTGAAAGCAACAAGACTGATTTTGATAAAAGAGACAAGGGTTGTAGAAACAGAAGGTAATCAGGAGAACAGCAAGGATTTGGCTGAAAAGATTATAACCCAGAAACTACTAGCACAGCATTTTAGCTGAGCAGAGTTGAACAATTTTTCCCTTCTGAAATCCCCAAAAATGAAATAAAAGAGAGTAGAGGAGATGAATGTCAGTGGCAGATGTCCACCAGTAAAAGCTAAACACTTGCCATGGAGAAGCCAACAGTAAGCTGATTGATTCAGGTAGTGTCAGTCTAGAAAGAAAGGTTTGGAATTGAAGATTCCAGAGGTTTCTGAAGTCAGGTGTGAGAAAAATTCATTATCTCCCCAAACAGAAGATTTTCCCTCTTGCATTCTGAGAGAGGACAATGAGTGTTCTCTTTAGAAGTTAAACTAGAGAGTATATGGGTTCAGGAAATCTAAGGACAAAGTGATACAGTGAGTACGGGAATTATATATAAGTTGCCTGTGATAGGTGATTTCATGTGTCAGCTTGGGTAGATCTGGAGTCAGTTGTTTGGTCAAACACTAGTCTAGATGTTATTGTGAAAGGTTTTACAGATTTTCCCAGAGTACTAGAATGCTCATCTACAGACAAAAGGGCCCACTGAGTGCTCAGAAAAATTATTTAATGAAAGCACATCATCATGAAATTGTCAGAAATGAGGGATATAGAAATAGTAGAAGCTTCTAGAATGTAAGAAAGAAAAGAAAGAGAAAAGGAAAAAAGGAATCTAATTGACACTGCAAGAAGGTAATGGTGAAATAATTTTTTGAGTGAAAATGATTCAATATAATGGTAAAATCTCAATAGTTATTAGTGTGGAATACAGTTATTTGCAGACATTCAAAATTCTTTAAAAAATTACTTTTTTCCCTATAATCTTTCTCACAAGTTACTGGAGTGTGTTCTCTACTGAATACACATATAAAATAAGAAAAAAGAAGAACACATAGGATTCAGGAAATGGGATCCGTCAAAGGAGATACGTGAAAGAAATTCTCAATACAGCTGATGTATATACACATCTCCTATTGGTTCTGTTTCTCTGGAGAACCCTTACACAGATACTCACCTTAAAATTCCTTATTATTTCTCAGTGTGTTCAATTAAACCACCTACTGAGTGCATGCAATGTACCAGAATTACATTAGTATTGTGACTATACACATTGAATAAGATAATCCCTGCTCTCAAGATATTGAAACTCTAACCAGGGATATAAGCAACTACCCAAATAAATAAAATACAAGAATGCTTTAAATATGATAACTATTTTCATTAATAGGGATCATAGGGATGATCTCCATTCTATATTTTTCTTAAAAGGGAGGACAATTTGCCATAAACCATGCAGAGAGAGAGACAGAAATGGAGTATGTCCTAAAGAGAGAGGGAGAGGGAAAGGAAGAGAGAGAAAAAGAGAGGGAATATGGAAATGATTGAATGGTTGAATTAATGGATATGTGTCAATGGGAGATTTCTGGTTCTTGAGTTCTCACTGCATTGCTCCATATCAGGTTCTGTGGGACATCCAGTGATAATACAGACCCCATTTACACTGAAGCCAGTTCAAATTACTTTCTGGCACATACATCTCAAAAAGAATTAACTATTCAGCAACTCCATCCCATCCATCCCTTTGGATTTACTTGTCCCAGTGACCGATGTGAAAGGAAACATATGGCTCAATCCTAAACTGGTTTCCTAGTCATGGCAAACAGGACTTCCACTGTACCCATTTCTGACAAGCAAATCTCCCTTCTGCTTGGCACCACAATCCTTCTTCTTTACACAGGTCTAGATAACTCAGAGCTGGTTGCCTAGGCAGAACTACCATTAGCACAGCTATTAAACAACTAATGAACACGTATATTCATCATGATGTTATGATGGTTTTATTATAAAGAAAGTATACTATTTTGTTAGATCATATAAAGGCAAGGAGAAAACCATGAATAGGGTCCATCTTTCCTCCAGTTGGCAAACACATAAAAAGATGGGTACAGTGAGACTAAACGGTCGTCTGTTTTGCAAATTTGGTGACATTTAAAAATTCTAGGGACATCCAGGTGGCTCAGTAAGTTCAGCGTCTGCCTTTAGCTCAGGTCACGATCCCAGGGTCCTGGGATTGAGTCCTGCATTGGGCTATCTGGTCAGTGGGGAGCCTGCTTCTCCCTCTGCCTGCCTCTCCCCATGTTTGTGCACTCTCTCTCCGACAAATAAATAAATAAAAACCTTTAAAAAATAATTCTAGATGCCACTAGACAATGCTAGAACATATAGCCCATTTAGTAAAAACACTGGTCAGCTTTATTCAGAAAATAAGTTCATCATCTGAATATCTGGCATGGCATAGATAATTAACCTAAGTTTTCCTTTCTCTGGGAAGCAAAATTTATTCCTGCTTTTATTAGTTTAGACTTCTTGTGGTTATTTGAAGGGAATTTACTTCAAATAGAGAAATTAAGTATAAATTAGTCTCAATTATAAAATGTCTGATCAGCTGGGATTCCTGTAAAGACTCATCCCAAATACATCAACAGAGACAGATACGCCAAATAAATCTTGAACATGTGAAATCATTCTATCTGAATTTGTTGATAATATAAATACAAAAACGTTGTTGGAAGTAAATTTTTTTAGAAGTCCCAACCCCAGGGCACCTGGGTGGCTCAGTGGGTTAAGTCTGCCTTCGGCTCAGGTCATGATCTCTGAGTCCTGGGATTGAGCCCAACATCAGGCTCTCTGCTCAGCAGGGAGCATGCTTCCCCCACTCTCTCTATCTGCCTCTCTGCCTACTTGTGATCTCTCTCTGTGTCCAATAAATAAATAAAATCTTAAAAAAAAAAAAAAGTCCCAACCCCAAAACAAAGAGGAATCATCCAATATGGGATAATGAAAGGAAAGTCACTGTGCACTGAACACGTAACACACTTCTCTCTTACCTGGTTGACAATGATTACACCTTCTTCCCTGCCGATTAGGCAAACACAGGCACTGGCCACTGATTGGGTCACAAGCAGTCCCAGGTAATGTCCCCAAGGAGTCACACTCACACATCTGGCAGCCTTGAAAATTGCCACTGGTCAGATTGTACCTGTGAGGCGCACACTGATTACAGTGAAGACCTGTTACTCCTAATTTGCAAGGACATTGTCCTGTTGATTTGTCACACAGCAGAGAGCCATTTACTGTCCCAGTCTTATCACAGTTGCAAGGCAGACAGAGGAAAGAATTATTTTGCCTGAGGTAGAAGTATCCCTCCAAACACTGGTTGCACTGTCTCCCTCCTACCCTGGGCTTGCAGACGCACTGCCCTGTCCTGGCATCACAGACGGTCCCAGAAAGGGATCCAGCCTCGTCACAGTCACAGGCCTTACAACTGGCAATGTCCAGTCCGTAAAAGTGTTCTCTGCAGGTGTCACACTGAGGTCCTTTGGCTTCTTTCTTGCACTCGCACTGCCCGGAAAGAGGATCGCAGAATTTGCTCACTGAGCCGTGGACATTGCACTGGCAGGGCTCACATCCATCATTGTTAAAACTTCGGAGGAATTTAAATCCAAAATTGCAGTGATCGCATCTAAGCCCTGAAGATAAAATTTGTTTAAGAAAGTGAAAACGTGGAAGTGATTCTATTCACATTTTCAAGATAAACCATGCTCCTGCCAACATTGAATGCAGACACAAAATGTTAGGTGTTTTCTCCCAGGGAATGCCATGGGGGCCTGGTCTTATACTCAAAATACAGTAATGAGACTTGCATGGGCAGTCATACGAAACTTTAGTTCTGTAACGTGCTTTATGAAATTTTATTCCTTAACATATAGAGAAATGCTCACTAGAAATGTTGCTCTCTTCCTAACAAATACGAAAATGATTATTTTTAATTATTTTATGTTAACAAAATGTTCATGGAAAAGAATAGGCAAGGAAATAAATTTTCAAAGCTACCCAGAAGAATTACATATTACCACATTACTTATTTTCCTAGAAATCAGATGATACACCAATGTTTAACACAATTGGAAGGTGATAGCTGTTTGTGTAGCAGAATATATGCTTCTGAATATCCCCTCTTTAAATAATTAATATAAATAAAACTTATCCAGAGCAGTTTTTGTTTCAATGCTTGTATATGCCCCTATATTTTATTATTTTCAATTAATATAAATTATGCTCTCCTTGGCTCATAAAGCTATCACATCACTTGTCATATCGTGTGGTTCAGGACATTCCTCTTTAAACACTAAATAAATTCTGTTTTTACATTACTTCTATTTAAAGGAGTACATATATACATTTCACACACAGAGAAAAATATTTTACGACCCAAACTTAAATCTCTGACAACTTAGGTGAGTTTCAGACAGGGCATTAAAAGGAAAGAGAATAAAACAAAAAATTTTGAATAGTAACAGTTAAGATGCAAAATATTCCCTTTAGATAGTTCTCACACACCTGACTTTAAATAACTGGCTATGTGGGGTTGAATCAATGGAAACATTTATTTCAAGCTATGATCATAATAAAAAAAAAATTAGTCCTAAAACAACAGTCAAAAACACACTCAGGAACTCATATATAGAAAAGCATTTCTTAAACTGGAAGGAAATGCATAATATATGTGTATATATATGGATAAAAATTCAAGAACTCCAATGCAAGGCAAGTTCTTTAACAGTGATGAATGACTCACCTAAGGCATATCATTTAATTTCAATAAGGAAAATAAAAAAGGACCACTATTGCTGCAAATTTTAAAAATAACTGTATTGTTAACAAGAATTATGACTCATTTTGAACTATTAAAATTGGTCTACATGGATTCATATCATATCAGTTTTAAAAATATGCGCAGTGCTTATTTGAATATGCCATACATATTCCTGACAGGTAATCTATTCCTAACGATACTCGGGGAGGCCTACAGGGCATCACATTCGTTGTTAACAAGTGCAAGCGAGTTAGCACACTTGGCATTTAATTCACATTCTTCTCCCTTTTTATTCTAGATGAATGACCTACTTTAATAAAATTATTGGTGCTAATATATTTTACTGGTGATAGAATCATTAGTAAGATTTAACAGTTTTGTTAACTTGAACAGTTTGGTTTCTGAAGCGTACACAGCATACACCAGTATTTTTGGCTTTTTTTTTTTTTTTTATAAACAAGGTAAAATTGAATAAGGGTATTGGCTAATCCCATTAGGAAAAGAAACCTATATATATACATACCAAGGTTGTGTTTTTATTCAAAAGGCTGAATGTGCAGAAATAACTCTAGAAATAATCATCTCAAAATGATGATTTAATCCTCAAAAATATACGTCTTTGTATTTTCCTACAGAAAACTATCTGGATCAATAAGACACAGAGATGGCAGGGAAGTCATAACACATTCTAAATAAAGAGCAAATTTTGATTTCCCCCTTTTCTTAAGATCTGGGATCCAACCATCACAAGAAAGACTTCATTGTTACAGAAAAGTAAACATTTCATTGTCGTCAAAGGTCTGTCCTTGAATTTTGCTTTCTGATAATGAATTTAAAATATATTTCATATTAAAGAACAAAGGATGACACTAGATTGAATTCAAGGGTTTTGGAATTCATTTAGCATCACAGATAACACTTATAAAAAGATACACTCTTTACAAGTTACTCCTTCGTTTTTTTTTCCCCCCAAAAGTTGGTTTTTGTATGCTTGAAATGCATAAGGACAAGTATATCAGAGATTTTGATGTAACCTTTCTTTAAACCAGAGAAATCTTGTGTCATATCATTTACCATGTCCATATTTTTTAATTAAATTAAAATGAAATGCTTGTCTGGCTGAATTGTATAAAATGAGGTATATATACCTACGTATAGAAAGGATAAAGAATTAGGTTTAGACTTACAGAACTGTAATAAAAATGTTATTCAGAATATGTTCATCTGTATATGTATTTGTATGTATGCATTTGTGTGTGTATGTGTGTGTGTGTGTCTGCCAGGCATGTTTTCATTATTACAAGGTTCAGGTTAGTGTTAGAAAAACCACAGAAGACTCGGTGTCTTGAATGACAATAGAAAGGTACAGGTCTTTCTTAAAATTCCTATGTGAACCAAGACATGTTCCGTTAAAATATAAGACTCACTTCATCAGGAAACTTTCCTTTCATAATATTCTCATATATCAATATTTCAAAGTGCATTATGTACATAGTGCATTTTGGGCACTTGATAAATTTTGTCCTTATGTGGCTGTGGTTCCCCTCAAAAATGCTGGATGTAATAAATTGCTATAATCAAATCTAATTTCTGAAAAATACCTGTGGGAGTAACAAACAAAAAAGCAGGTCTTGTATAAAAAAGTGATAAATAACACTGAAGGTAGCTGTTTATTATAATCAGCTTGGCACTGAATTACAAAATTAAAATTATGTGGCCCTTTATAACTAACCCTACCAATATACATGATCTGTGGAATTATGTTGACTTATTTTGCATTTCATAGGAACAGTTCAAAGAAATATAATAGAAAAAAATGGAAAGATTTATCACAAAGGACCCTGTAGCACAGAATATTTTGAAAAAATCCATTTATTTTGGTCTATTAAGAAAACTAGCATGGAAATGATTTGCTTAGAACTCATTAAGTGTAAAACATTTTGAAAAAGTACTAATTTTCTAAAAGAAACATCTATGCAGTAAGCAAATTATATTTTTCTATGACTTATTAGTATGGGACCATGTGAACTAAGGCATCTACAGAATAAAGAAACTTCTAAAGGGTTGATTAAACTAAGCTTCAAGCTGTAGTTTGATAGAATTATTAATTTAATCATTTTTAGACAGTTAATTTCATCCAAATTGTTTTTTTTTTTTTCCAGCCTGCCTTGAGCAAGGAAATTTGCTTTGCTCTTCGGTTAAGAAATCAAATAGAGAATCTTATTCCAGATGGTAATAGAGATGTGACTGTAAACTTTTGCATTACACATACCAATAACATTTGCTTTGCACTTGCACTGGCCTGAATTTTGGTGACAGGTAATATCTCCATCCACTGTCCCAGAGGTACTGCAGTTACAGGAGCTGCAGCCATCAGGATCCGACTCTCGTAGATTGTAGAATCCACTTTGGCACTGATTGCACTGTCTGCCAGACACATGTCTCTTACAATTACACTGGCCTCCAATCTAGAGGAGATACAACATTTTGTAGAACGATGAACGTATCTATTTTTAGTTAATTTGCTCATTAGGTACAAGACAGGGAGGGAGGAAGGGAAAAAAAAAAAAAAGAACTTTAAACAGACAAGAAGGTAATAAGGTACGTTTTCCTCCTGACACAAAACAAGGGAAGCTTCAGCAGGATGAATAAATAGAACTGAATGAAAATAAACCCCGAAGAAGTCAGTAGCATGGGGCTAAAAGGGAAACGTGGAATTAAGCACTGAGCACCATAGAAAGAAATCAAAATATAGTCCTGTGGAGATTGAAAATAGAAAAGAGCCGGCAGTTAATTTAGTCTCACGATTTTACCTCTCTGTTTTTTGTTCCTCTCATCGACCCACACTTGCTTGATACGTGGTGCTTAAATTAAGGATGGATCTTTCTATAGTAATATCATCCCATCAAGGTCTTACTGTTTAAAATAAAGTTCCTTGTTAATGGAACCATTTGTGCCTACTGATAAAGGACTTTTTTTAAAAGTTTTTTTTTTTTTTTTTTTGCAACAGTCCTGCTTTTAGGAATATTTCAGCATATTTGTAGTTTATTTGTAATATAACTTAGTCATATTAAGTATAGTTAGCTGATTTATATCGTGGTAAAAATGCAAAAATAGTTATTTGTTTCAGAGCACAGTCAAGTAAAATATCAGCTGAAAAAGAGTATTTTTCTTCTTCAAGCTCCTGAGAATGAAATACACAAAATATAGAATGCTTATCTACTATATGCATAAATAATACTATGGTGGTTAAAAAAAGATAATTAAGAGCCTAAGCTTTTCAGAAGGGAACATATGCATGTAAAATGTGAAACTAATATGAGAAATTTAAAAATAACTTAGGATTTGCAAAAGAGATGCCAATGTAGACATCAGATCAAATCTCCTGTAAAGTCACTGGCATTTCTTCCCCTGATTTCCTCTTACATGAGCTGAATCTAGCTCTCCACAATTGGTGGCAGGGTTGTCACCCAGGGAAGTAACCTATGTGTAGAAAGGTGTGGCTTGATTTACCTGTAATCACAGGTATACTCAAAACGATCAGTTTGGGATTCAGTTCCAAAGATGTTAAAAAAGGGTTTTTTAATTAAGGAATTTTAAAGAATCTATCACTGTCTCATTCTTCCTCATCTCAGGTATAGAGAATATGCTGGAATCATTACTTAAGGGTAAAATAATTGATGTGAAAATGTTTAGTACTCTGAAAAATAGAAGTGTATACATGCACCAGGTATACTTGTATATTAATAATGAACCTCAGTGTCAAAGATACTTATAGGTCCATAAAGATATGCAAAGACCATGAATGATCCTTTGTACCTTGCTACATTCCCCACCCCACTCTTACCCAGTCCACATAATCCAGATCATTACTCAAGATGGAGATTTGATTTGGTCTGCAAAAATAAGTGGCATTTATTGGTGGGTATGTGTAATATATGGTCATGAAAATCTACTAGGCCTCTGATTATATACTCTACAGCAAATAAGAGAATATGATTTTACTACCATTTCCTTAACCTAAAATTTGTATAACACATAAATTATACTTTCTTTAAATGAGCTATACCTTAAAATGTGGCTTAGAAGTAAATTATAAAGGCTTTATAGTTCTATGAAAAGTTTTATTTTAAGCAGTTTCTCAAAATTCACCTGAAAATACAAATTTACATCTGTACAACTCAGCTTCATTTATTTTTAAATGTTTATTTATTTTTATCTTAGAGAGAGAGAGCATACTCATGGAGGGTAAAAGGGAGAGGGAGAGAAAGAATCCTCAGACAGACTCCCCACTGAGCATGAAGCCTGACACAGTGCTCTGTCCCAGGACCCTGAGATCGAGACCTGAGTCAAAGTCAAGAATCAGATACTTGGGACACCTGGGTGGCTCAGTTGGTCAAGCAACTGACTACAGGTCCGGTCATGATCCTGCAGTCCTGGGATTGAGTCTCACATTAGGCTCCCTGCTCAGCAGGAAGTCTGTTTCTCCCTCTGACCTTTCCCCTTTCATGCTCTGTCTCTCATTCTCTCCCTCTCAAATAAAATCTTAAAAAAAAAAAAAAAGAATTGGATGCTCAGCCAACTGAGCCACCCAGACACCCCTAGTTTCATTTATATTATGGCACATAAATCTACTTAAACTCTAAGACCAATTCTTGTCCACCAAGAAGTAGAAAGTGAGAAAGGTTTGCTTTTCCCCTTTAAAAATACACTTCCAAAAAGTCAGATACAACATTTTTCTGTTTCTATGCTCTTTGGTAGAATACTTTTACACTAGCCCAATTAAATAATACAGCCCTGAATAAGTCATGGGATGAAAGCTACAACACAAGGAATATTGTCTTTGGTATTATAATAGCAATATGTGGTGACAAATAGTAGCTACATTTCTGGGGAACACAGCATAATGTACAGAGCTGTCAAATCACTATGCTAAACACCTGAACCTAATGTAACATTGCATGTCAACTGTAGTAAAAATAAATAAATGAATGAATGAATAACTAAGCAAATAAATACACACACCCCTGTAATTATTATTCCCCAGAAAGATAAGGTAAAAGCTATATTCACTAAAAAATATAGAAAACATGCTGAGTAAAATAAGTCAAGCAGAGAGAGTCAATTATCATATGGTTTCACTTATTTGTGGAACATAACAAATAGCATGGAGGACATGGGGAGTTAGGAGAAGGGAGTTGGGGGAAATTGGAAGGGGAGGTGAACAATGAGAGACTATGGACTCTGAAAAACCATCTGAAGGGTTTGAAAAGGTGGGGGGGTGGGAGGTTGGGGGAACCAGGTAATGGGTATTAGAGAGGGCACAGATTGCATGGAGCACTGGGTGTGGTGCAAAAACAATGAATACTGTTATGCTGAAAATAAATTTAAAACAATGATTTAAAAAATACATATAGAAAACAAAAACCTTAAGAAAGAAACAATCTGTGGAGGAAGGAATACATTAGGCAAAATAAAAATTTCAATAAGAAGATGGGAAGAGAAAGTTGAGAAAATTCTTGGGAAAGAGTCATAAGGATAGAGATGAAAACAAAATAAAAATAGAGCATTTCCAGATGGACAAAAGTAGAAAAAAAAAAACAAAACATGAGGGAGGAGATTACCAAAGAATTAATACAAAATAAACAGTTTTCCAGACATGAAGCTACAGATTAAAAGGGCTCACCACGTGCTGGCAAAATTAATTGAGAGGGGTGGTGGTGGTGGCAGGGAACAGAGGCAAGGTCACGTAAAATCCCATAAAGCATTCAAATACTGGAAATATAAGGGACAAAAACTTCCAGGAAAAAAATAAATCCCATATAAAAGAGCTACAGAATATCACTGAAGTGTTCTGCATTATTATTGAAACCCAGAATACTACATCATAACTTCCAAATTATGAGCAAAATTATTTGCCAATCTAGAATTCAATACCAGGTCAAACTATCAGTTATCACTGAGGAAAGAATAATGACATTTTTCAGGTATGAAAGGATTTCAAAAATCTAACTGCCTCTCTTAGGAAGCTGGTGGGGGATATGACTCCAGCAGATCAAAAAGTAAATGAACAAGAGCAACAACAACACAAGGCATGGGATCAAGGAGATGAAGATTCAGAAGCATGTGGCGAGTCTCAGGCTAGTAGCTGAGCCGGAGGCCTAGAAGGCCATTGGTCCAGACTAAATCCAAAGATGGAGCATCTGAAGAAGGTGGGCCTGTGCAGATGGAATAATTGTACTTGGACATGTAATTAAAAATTTAAAAAAGAAAACCTTATAGATATTCATGTAGCAAAGGTGTCAGCATTTGGGGGGGAAATTAGGGACATATAAAAAGCTAAGCAGATATAAGCAAAGGAATTATTCAACATTAATTATTAAATTATTTTATCTTTTTAAAATTATTAAATATAAGCAGAATAAAAGATTATGGATATTTTTGAAGATAGAGTCGATATGACTTGCTGGCAAATTATACATAGCTGCTAAGAGAAAGACAATTCAAAAACAATATTATGGCTTTTGACATCAACAACTGGAAGGACAGAGTTGGCATTAACTAAGATGGGAAAGGCCATGAGTGAAGCAGATTTGGAGAGAAATCAGGAGATCAGTTTGGGACACATTAAATTTGAGATACCCCTCTAGATATTGAGTATTTAATTCAAAATATGAGTGTGGAATTCACCTGAGCCTTGCCTGTGCATTGATAACATCTGAAGCTAAGTATCACCAAGGGAGCAAGTAACAGCATATTTATTAGCTTAAAAGGAGGACAAAGCACAGGCATCCATGCTGATAACGCAAGGGAAGGGAAAGGTCAAGGGCAGGCCCTGACTCACTGCAGTATGGCCTCTCCTTCCAGATGCTGATGTCTACCCATTTGTAGCCTTCTCCAATACTGAGTTCCTCCCAAGTTAAAGCATGTTTCCCTCCTCTGTTATCCTATAGCATGTTATTGCTATATTATACCACCCTGCAATTTTCTAGTGTCTAACTTATAATTATATGCCTCTCTGAAAATACCTCTTCCCAGGGTATGGCTGTATGCTGTATGGTTCAGCAATCAAAGGGCCATAGCCTTGTGCACCTTTCTACTACCCATGGATCCAATAGGATGCCTGATGCATAGTAACACTTATAATATTGCAGACAGAGTGCTATAATGTTGTATGTATTTTTTCCTATTTATTAACAAATAATCCTGTGAGGCATATAATATCAGAAGGACAATTATGCGACTTTTCCAAGACCTACCTTAAATGGAAACCAGGAGCTCTATGTATGCTTGCAATCCTGCATGCTTATGTGCTATGGGATCGTGCCTTAGAATTTAACACTCGCTCCTGTTCTGTCTCAACTAAATGGTTTAATTTCCTTAATCACTTGGATGTGGCATAATTACTAGTCAAGGTATAAGCTATACTCTGGTCCCTAAATCTACCTAAATCTTAATTTATCTATAA